ACACACACACACACACACACACACACACACACACACACACACACACAGCTACGGTACATTTAGTGGACTCCAGAGAAACAACTGCAACAACATCCACGATAACATACGCACACAACCGTGTCCCCACATGCCACCTCACAGCGATTACACATATACAAACAAGTTTACTCATGTCCACACATGTACACACACATTCACACACCTTTACACTGTAAAGGCGAATCTTCGAGGTTTAGAATAACATGCCCGCCAAAACAATGGCATCCCTACCAACAACATTTAGTCTTGTCACACCACAAGAATGAATCAGCATTTCCACCGACATGCTTTTTCATGCTACTGTGCTGAAGCTGAAAAATGTAACTACAGCAAATATGTATCTTAACAACAATCATGCATGCTACGATTCAAGAAAACACTGATTAACGCCTACATTTTATGTGTGTTTTATTTGCAAACTTAACACAAACACTGCTCTGATTCAGCTGGTTAAATATTCATCAAGCAAAGTGTTATATATGAAACCATTTAATGGGCAATAAAACCCAGAACTTATTTGTTTATACCGATGCCTTAGAATCTGTTATCTCCCTTCACGATCTCAGAGCTACAATAAAGCTTTTCTCTGCTTGAGTACCTGGCGTATCTGCAATTGTTTTTCCAGCGTCGCTGCCAAACACCCTTGACAGACATCCCCAAGTTAACAAACTCGTGAGTGAGAGAGATGAAAGGGTGCCGTGTACACAGAGGCAACGCATGTCAATTTGTCAGATAAGGAGATGACATACTTCTGGAATGAGCATTCGGATCAAAACCTATAATTGCTATGTAAACAAAATTTCACAGGGAGGTGTCGAACTTCTTAGAGCTGGCCCTAGAGAAGAAGCACAATGCTCACTATTCATCTCAATACTCAATACGGGGAATCCTTGGGAAAATAATAGTTAAACAAAGGACAACTCATTCGACACAATACGTTGAGTGTGTGAATGCAGGTGGAGAACAGATTTGCTCCACTGATTCCATTTCTAGATGATGTCAGTACAACAGGAGAAACAAGGGGTTTCACAGAGCGAGGTGACTTATTGTACTTTGATTGGGTCTCATGTTACATGACCCGGTAATTCACCGGTGACAATTGTTCTCACTCACCTCCTACGTATTTGAATATTGTATTTCACCCCTCACCTTCTCTCTTTCTGTGTTTCTCTCTCTTTGCATATATTTGCGCCTAATTCAAAAGTATAAGCAATCTTTCCTAGAATGAAATGATAAAATCAACACCACTGAGTATAGACTCAGGATGCATTTAGCATAACGCAAAGCCTGGGCACAGTGGGAGATATCTAGCTTGACTCTGGCCCCACAATTTTTTTTTTTGGAGCTATTTCTCGTCAAAGAAGGGTTTAATAATTCATCCAGCACTTCTGTGCAGCTTTACAGATGTTGGTAAAAGTGGATTTGTTACCTTCAGACAGGGCCTGGCTAGCTGTGTCCACCTGTTTTCAGTCTTTATGCTAAGCTAGGCTAACCAGCTTTCATCTTACTCAGAATGAAGTGTACTTTTGGAAATGCGCTTCCTTCCAAGATTGAGAAAATCTTATTTCCCAGAACGTTGAACGATTCATTCATTGTGATGCTTGGGAGACATTTCCACTTAATTAGAGAACTGCGTGTGGTGCTGGAGGCCTAGCCCGTCTCTCACTGCTGTACCCAGACATAGAGCCCCGACACCAGGGGAGGCTCATGAATGGCTGGTTTGATCCATCCTGGTGTTCCTCCCATCTGCAGCTGACACCTCCTCTGTGGTCTCAGGTCCCTCTCTGATGATGTCATACCATGTTTGATTCCCCGTTTACCACATGAAGGCAACTCGGCTGCTCTGACTTCAGCTGTAAAGGCCCACAGTTGGTAAGTGTGTTTGGCTAAAACAGAAACAATGGTCATATTATCTTGTGTAATGTTAAGTAAAGAGATACCTGACCGCATTACCATGTGTTTTGCGATGCTCTGTTGCTCTCTGGACTCGTGCACATGTTTATTTTCATTTTGCTTCTGGCTTTTTCACCAAAGCCAGTGGTGGCAGGACTTGAGGACCACTTCAGTTCATCCTCCACCACCTGTATCCTTCAGGTGGATTCCTCTCACTCTCTCCAGTCCCTCCATTTGCAACATATCCCAGTGATTACACAGCTGCGACCACTTCAGTGCAAACAAACAGTCTGCCCATTGTTTATATGAATAAAATCCCAATATGCCATGTCTGCCCGCTTTGCCAGAAGAGCGGGAACGAACAGATGCACCCGGAGGGGGGTTAGAGCTACAGCTGGGGACAAAAATGCCTACTCTTCATTATGGTTGGTCCAGAAGCTTGATGCAGGCGGCCTGGGGCTGGGGCTAGGATAAGGGCCAGGGCCAGAGCTGGCTCAGCTCCTGGCTGCTATGTTAAGTCTGCCTCAGCCACAACCACATTGCGCAAAGCTGCTTCACACATATAATTTACTCATTATTCACGTAGTTTTCGAAGAAGTCAAAAATAATATATATTGCAGAGTGAGAGAGTTGGTGGAAAACTAACATGGACTGAGTCGCTATTCAGTAAAAAATAAAGTTATATGCAGTTATATAAGATGGCAGGCTTATGGAGTCACAGTCAATTAGCACAGCTGATTGAATAGAGGTGACCGCAGAAACCGTATACTTTGAAAAATACCTTATAGTACTGAGGAGAGACAGTTTAACCAATGATTGGCAAATCCCAGTATGAGTGCAAGGCATCTGTAAGCATTGCTGGGTACCATGCCGAATCCAGTATGCTCCGCGCAGGCTACTTTTTATTAGGGGCAGGAAATAGGTGTCTCTGAGCCCTCGGTTCATTTCATGAAATGTCC